CAGCAAAATATATAACACTGTTCTAGTGGTTTTTGGATATTTTAATAAAAAAATATTACATATTGTGCCTTTAACTTAAAACTAAAACCAAAGCCATTAAAAACATTTTCATTACTTGAAATAAAATAAATGTTAATTGAAATAAAACTTACTTTATTTCAGCTAGTTTTAAAGGCGACATTTCTCATTTTCATTTAGTTTAACTTGATGTATTAAAATAACTAAAACTAAATTAATAAATGAATTAAATAACAATAATAAAATTAATAACACCATATATAGTTTTTATGGTTTATGGGGACTCTCCATAGGCGTAATGGTTTTTATACTGTACAGACCTTATTTTCTATTGCCCTACACCAACCCTACCCCTAAACCTACCCCTCACAGGAAACTTTCTGCATTTTTAGATTTTCAAAAAAACTCATTCTGAATTATTTATAAGCCTTTTGAATTACGGGGACACTGAAAATGTCCTCATAAATCACCTTCTTGTAATACCTATGTCATACCCATGTTATTATACAAATTTGTGTCCTCATAAACCACATAAACACGCACACACACACACACACACACACATATATATATATATATATATATATAAACAGCCAAAACTGACAAAACACACAATAAAATTACAAAAGAAAATTAACTAAAATTAACATGAAAGCAGAAAATATAAAAATGTAAAATCTAAGATGATACTAAAATATCATTGCCACTGAAATTTACATGGCATCTATATTGTTTCTTATTTAAAGACCAACTTATACAGTGAAAAATTATTATAAATGTGTCTAGAATATCATTTAGAAAATATTGTGTTTCAGTTAAGCTTGTTTATTTTCATTTACTTTTTATTCATTTACTCACTCATTTATTCTTTAATATTTTATTTATTTATTATTTATTTTTGTTTGTTTGTTTGAATCGAATGCTTATTTATTTTGAATCATTTTTAATTTTATCTTATTTTTTTATTTATTTATTATTTTTATTTATGAATTGTAGTTTATTTTTTAACACTTTTTTTTCTCTCTCTAAACGTTTACACAAATGTGAAAACGTGGAGGACCACATTGTTCACGCTGGTAGACCGTCTCTGGTTCTGTGTCTCTGTCAGGTGTCTCTGTTTAACTACGTGTTCCTGGTGAGCTGGGCCTTCGCTATGCCCTTCAGTCAGTTCAGACCGCTGGCGTCTAGCGTCTGCACCGTCTGGACCTGCGTCATCGTGGTCTGTAAGATGCTGTACCAGCTGACCTCCATCAACCCGTCCTCGTACTCCAGGAGCTGCAGTATGGTGAGTCCTCACTCGCTCTTCAGCACACGCCTGACACACAGACGCTCTGGTTCTGACCGAGTCTGTGCTTCTCTCCTCCAGCCGCAGAACTACACAGACGCTCAGCGCTCAGACATGGCCAGATCTCTGCTCTACAGCGGCCCGGTGGATCCGGCTAACTGGATCGGCTTCAGGAAGTTTTCTCCGCTGCTGGAGAATCTGAGGGTAAGAGCTGCTGAGGTTCAGATGCAAAATCAGTATAGTTAACAGGATTAATATAGTTATTACACTCTTAAAAATAAAGGTGCTTAAAAGGTTGTTCACAGCGATGCCATGGAAGAACTATTTTTGGTTTCACAAAGAACCATTCAGTCAAAGAACCATCTCTTTCTTAGCTTTTTTATAATCTGAAGAACCTTCTTTTCACCTTTTGTGAGACAGAAAGGTTCTTCAGATGTTAAAGGTTCTTTATGGAACCATTTAGACTAAAAGGTTCTTCTATGGCATCACTGTGAAGCACAAAGGGTGTACAGTTAACTAAAAAAAAAAAAAGCCTTTATAACAATGCGTTATTTGAAATAAAATAAATGTTACTAAAATAAAATATATGTAATAAAAAAAACAACTTTTTTATTTCCGATAGTTGCCAAGGCAACATTTTTTAAAAATCTTAATTTAGTTTAACTTGATGTACTAAAATAGCGAAAACTAAAACTGAAATAAAAATTAATAAAACCTATATAGACAGACTAAAAATGACAGAAGCACACAATAAAATGCCTAACGGTTTGATTAAAATTAAAATGAAAACAAAATATAAAATCAAAATCTGATAGACATAATAGTGTCTCAATGATACTAAAATAACACTGATTGCCACATGGAGAGAAAAAAATTAGCACCCTAGCTAAACTTTTTACTGTATATCAGCTGTTAGACCTTTTATTAAGACGTGTGTGCCTTTCCAAATCATACCCATTCAATTGAATGTTCCTCAGGTTAACTTAACTCGAAGTGTAGTAACATCTACAAGCAATATGAATGCTCCTGAGCTTAAAAGGTTCTTCTATGGCATCACTGTGAAGCACAAAGGGTGTACAGTTAACTAAAAAAAAAAAAAGCCTTTATAACAATGCGTTATTTGAAATAAAATAAATGTTACTAAAATAAAATATATGTAATAAAAAAAACAACTTTTTTATTTCCGATAGTTGCCAAGGCAACATTTTTTAAAAATCTTAATTTAGTTTAACTTGATGTACTAAAATAGCGAAAACTAAAACTGAAATAAAAATTAATAAAACCTATATAGACAGACTAAAAATGACAGAAGCACACAATAAAATGCCTAACGGTTTGATTAAAATTAAAATGAAAACAAAATATAAAATCAAAATCTGATAGACATAATAGTGTCTCAATGATACTAAAATAACACTGATTGCCACATGGAGAGAAAAAAATTAGCACCCTAGCTAAACTTTTTACTGTATATCAGCTGTTAGACCTTTTATTAAGACGTGTGTGCCTTTCCAAATCATACCCATTCAATTGAATGTTCCTCAGGTTAACTTAACTCGAAGTGTAGTAACATCTACAAGCAATATGAATGCTCCTGAGCTAAATTTCAGCTGTCCCAGATAAGGGTTTGAATACTTATGCAATGGAATCATTTAAGTTTTGTATTTTGCCAGCTGTGGAAAATAAGTAATTTAAAGCAGTTTAACATAAGGCAGCAGCATAACAAAACGTGAAATAAATGAAGGGGTATGAATACTTTCGCAAGGCACTTCCTATATATAGGAAGATATTAGAAGATGCAAGAGTTTGGTTTCTATAGAAGATGGTTTGATCTGAATAATTTATGTACAGTACTTTATAAATATACGAGTAAAGGTTTGTCACATTTAGCGTTCAGTTAGTATTTTTGAGATACTATAACATATTTGTGTCTATTTTTATTTTAAAGTTTTTGTAATTTTGTTTTGTTTTATTCTAGTACTTTTTGTAGTTTTTATTCATTTTTATTTCAGTTTTTTTATTTTTGAACGTTAACTTAAACAAATATAAATGAGAAATGGTGCTTGGCAGCTAGCTGAAGTAAGTTTGTAATATTTTGTTTCATTTCAGTTAATGTATCTTTTTATGGCTTTAGATTCAGTATTAATTTTGGTAAACTTTGGTCACACAAATTCGCTGTGTTGCTCGACAGAAAGCAGCTCGCTTTGAAAGTGATTTCTGTGTGAGCTGTGCTTCATACTGTACATCTCTACACTATTGACAACAGACAGCTTACCTTTTTAGCCTGTAAAATTTAACCAAAATTTTGATAAAGTGATGCCACGTTAAGAGTCAGAGTATCGTTCTCACGATAACATTTAATCAAGAGATTATCAGTCAGCTCCTAATAAAGTTACCAGCCATCGGTGACATTGGCAAATCTACACAATGCCGATTTATACTTGCATTTGTCTCTTCTGGTTGTTAATTTCGGACACTACAAGCACTTCAATAGCATCCTTATCCATGTATTTATTTGTTTGTATATTTGTTTATTTTCCGCACATAGAATAACTTACTGATGCTGGCTCTCTTGGCGTTTGAAGTGACCATTTACCGTCACCAGGATTTCTACCGAATGAAGAACAACCTCACCCCTCCGGTCACGAGAACCGTCTTTCACAACATCACACGCCAGCATCTGGACGACGGCATCGTCAACTGTGCCAAATATTTCATCAACTACTTCTTCTACAAATTTGGTCTTGAGGTAATATCAGCATTAATTATACACTACCATTCAAAAATCTGAGGTTGGTAAGTGTTTTAATATTTTTGAAAAAGTCTCTTCTGCTCACCAAGGCTGCATTTATTTGATCAAAAATACAGTAAAAATTATGAAATAATATTACAATCTAAAATAGCAGTTTTCTATGTGAATATCTGTTCAAATGTAATTTATTTCTGTGATGCACAGCTGAATTTTCAGCATCATTGCTCCAGTCTTCAGTGTCACATGATCTTCAGAAATCATTCTAATATGCTGATTTGAAGAAACATGAACGTGTTCTCCCCTTTGAGGGCCAGTTTTGGTTTTGTACAGACACTGATTTACTCTCTGTCTGTGAGACGGTCTCTAAAAGATTACCATCTGAAGCTCAGATCGCTAACACACTGTTGAGACAGATAAACCACAATAGAGTGTTAAGGTAATGGATCAGGGTTACGTGATGGATATTGAATTTTAATGTGTGTATAGTGATGCTATCAAATGCACCCATTATTGTCCTAATTTGAAACTCATGGCTGAATGTTGCTCCTCCAGACCTGTTTTCTGTTAGCGGTGAATGTGATCGGCCAGCGGATGGATTTCTATGCCATGCTGCATGCGTTCGGTCTGATTGCGGTGATGTATCAGCGCAGGAGAAAAGCCATCGCCCGCGTCTGGTCCAAGTATTGCTTCTTTCTGGCCTGCATGTTAGCCTTCCAGTACCCATTCTGACGGCACCCATTCACTGCAGAGCATCCATTGCTGAGACACTGATGCAATGCTACATTTCTACAAACCTGATGAAGAAACAAACTCATCTACATCTGGGATGACCTGAGAGTGAGCACATTTCCAGCAAATTTAAAAAATTTGGGGCGAACTATTCCTTTAAGATAACAGCAAATTCCCTCTTGGTTATCTTGAAGAAGGCTCTTGGCTGTATTTCTGAATTTCACCAATATCTCTTCTTCGGTTCAGACTATCCGTGGAGAAGGCCGTCTTCCAGCATGGACTCAAACGTCATCAAGTGGCTCTACTTCCCAGACTTCCACACCAAACCCAGCTCGCTCTTCCTCCTCTGTGAGTAATGTTGAATCTGTGTTAACGCTCCCCAGCTCTGCTTTAACGCTCTCGTCTCACATGCCGCTCTCTTCTCTCTCTCTCTGCAGACGACTTCATGCTGCTGCTGTGCGTGTCGCTGCAGGGCCGTGTGTTTGAGGAGGAGAGCGTGACGGCCGTAAAGCTGCAGGCGGGTGATAATGTGGAGATCTGTCGAGATCTGGACGCCGCCAGCTTCAGCCAGCACAACCCTGTGCCCGACTTCATCCACTGCAGGTACACATCTCACACAAACAGCCCAGACCACAAGAAGTTCATTTAATCATGTGTACTTAGTATTAGTCATGCACTGAAATTAAAATTCTGGGCCAAATCCATTTTCTTTTATTTATTATACAATTAACAAAAAGCAAAAAAGGCCTCTAAGACTAGCTTGCTCTATTTTTTTTCTATTCTTTTTATTTATTATATAATTTTTAAAAACCTTGCTATGTGTACTGCGTTAAGCTAACTGAGACTTGTTATAGCACTTGCTTATTGTTGCTCTTTTGTTGATTTTGATTGCTTCTGTTGTCCTCGTTTGTAAGTCGCTTTGGATAAAAGCTTCTGCTAAATGACTAAATGTAAAAATTACCTTTTTAAACTTATTTTAAAGTAGTGTTTTCTATAACTGTATTAATATTATTGCGCCAATTTTTGACATTTAATTAAATTATTATGAAGAAACTAATGAATGAATTCAATTATTATTTAATTATTTAGTTTTTATTATTTTTTATTTATTTTGCATTTTCATTTAGCCAACGACTGAAACCAAAACCGAAAAAAAAAAAATCTATTAATCGACACTCAAATAAAAACTTTTAAACTGCACATAAGGCCATTTTTATGTTGACTTTTTAATAACAGAATTATGCTTCTATTCCAATTCTGTTGTTGAAATATACACATTTAAAAAGTGACTGTAATAATAACTTGTTTCATCACAGATTTATTCAAATGTGAATTAAATAAAGAGGACAACAGGTTAAGGATAAATATCATTAACATGTAATACTGTGCATATATTTATCAAAAGTAATTTTTATGGCCATTCAATGGCTTTTCTGAGGTAAATGTTATTTAAACAAAACAAATTTTGTTTTATAACATTTACACACTTTTATGTCACATTTAGTTCTTTTGAAGGTCCGTTTCAAAACAGAAAAGCACATTAATAATCTGTATTTCTTGTGTTTTCTACATCATATAGACCAGAGGTTCTCAATCTCAGTGAACTTCCAAAGGGCCGCAGAATGGCATAAAATGAGTTAAACGGATTATATTTCTATAATCGAACTTAATTACAATGCTAAAGAGCACACATCAGATTTCTTTCAAGAGCATACAGTTCTGCTCAGTTTTTCCACTTCTTCATCATTACACTTATTATTATACTTGCAGATTCCAGTAAAACCAAATAACCTGCTAATGCATTATGGGTAATTCTGAGGAAACGGTGCCATTTGATGCAAAATGGTTCGGTGTTGAACATTATTAGCAAAAATGGCCTTTCCTAGCAAATATCATCATATGGTTGATTACAGTCTGTGTTTTTGATGCCAGAGACAATAGTTTCCTCTGATAACAGATGAACTTTTGAGCCTGACCAGACCAATATAATAACAACCATATGTGAATACTAATAATGATATATACACTATTATTCAAAAGTTAGGGGTCAGTAAGATTTTTTAATGTTTTAAAAGAAGTCTTTTTTTTTGCTTGAGTCAGAGACGAAAAAAGGGTCGTCAAGCATCAAAACTATAAAAGTCCAATACAGTTTAATTTACATTAGAATGTGTCCTAGTCTAATTTTATACTTCTGAGAATCATACATTTTTACCAAGATTTACAGAAGACACCCACTAAAATATCGTTCAGGGTAACAATAATCCATATACCAAAAAATTGTGATCGTCATAATTAGAACAAGAATCATTAGTCAGCTACTAAATGCTAATTTACTGTCATTTTAAATCTTTGCCCTGATTCTTCAAACCACAAAGCTTTACCCATTTGTTAGTTTTTAATAATTTAAAATATATTAAAATTTATGACGATCACGTATTATTTTATGCATTTTAATAACAACAGGTCAGGATTGATGTGTTTTGCATAAATATAACTGTTAAACTGAATGATGATGGAACATGATTTCACATTTATTTTCACAAAAGTTATTTGAAACATTAAAGTAGACACTTACTAAATACATATTAAATGCATACTTGCATTTAATATGCTTTTTATGTATATAAAATCACTTTTGCCAATTTTATTTGATGCGGACACCAAAATGGGACTCACATCTTTGACCCACTCACCAAGGCTGCGTTTAATTAAAAATACAGTAAAATTTTGAAATATTATTGCTATTTCAAATATCTGTTTTCTATGTGAGTATCTGTTAAACTGTAATGTATTTCTGTGATGCGCAGCTGTATTTTCAGCATCATTACTCCAGTCTTCAGTGTCACATGATCTTCAGAAATCAGTATAATATGCTGATTTGCTGCTCAACAAACATTTCTGATTATTATCAATGTTGAAAACAGTTGTGCTGCTCAATATTTCTGTGGAAACTGATGCATTTTATTTTTCAGGATTCACAGATGAATAGAAAGTTCAGAAGAACAGCATTTATTTGAGATTGGAATATTTTGTAACACTTCTGACACTTTTAAACGATTTAATGCATCTTTGATGATTACAGTTTTTTTCAGCTGCTTACACACGAAATCTTTACGTGTCACACAGTTTCTGAAAGCTGACACTCAAACAGCAGAAGCACACACCAAATCTACAAAGCCATACACTAATAATAATCAGCCTTTGACTCGGTTTTCAATTTCATAAAACACTTTTTGCAAAACACAACATCGATGTAACACACCAAAATCTAACAGGACTTAATATTATGGCAAATGTTTGCTTTTGAGATGTGTTTGTGATATTTTGAATGCAGCGCTTCATTTTGCAAGAGATGAGAGGCATTTTGCATTTTGCATTTTGTATGTGCAATTCTTGGATTTGTGTGTAAAGTTTAGAAAAAAAGAGGCAAGGTTTTGAAAATGTGTGCAAGCAGCTGAAAAAACAAAGCTGTTCAGACTTCACCCTTCATTGTCTCTGTCCTCTCCACAGGTCGTATTTGGACATGCTGAAGGTGATGATGTTCAGCTATCTGTTCTGGTTCGTCCTGACCATCATCTTCATCACGGGCACCACACGCATCAGCATCTTCTGCATGGGATACCTGCTCGCCTGCTTCTACTTCTTGATCTTTGGGGGCGAGCTGTTACTGAAGCCAATCAAACGCATCCTTCATTACTGGGACTTCCTCATAGCATACAACATCTTCGTAATCACCATGAAAAACATTCTCTCGGTGAGTATCTCATAAATCTGCTCGCAGCGATCTTTCACTCAGAGGTGTTGTAAATTAGCTTGAAATATGTGCTGAACAGCCACGGACCCACATAAATCACAGTTCTGTTTGTAGCGCTCTGCATTTCTGTGGGTCTGAATGCTTTGTGGGATTTGATTAATAATTACAAGTCAAGTCAAGACAAGTCAGCTTTATTTATGTAGCGCTTTTAACAATACAGATGGTGTCAAAGCAGCTTTACAGTATTAAATAGGAAAATAGTGTGTCAGTGATGCAAATTACACACAACACACGCACACCTGCCTCACTAACCGAAATATGTTGCATAAATGGAAAATATTTCTCTTTTTTTTTTTTCATTATTGCTTCAGGAATTTATACATTTTTTATTTTTTTTTTCTCAACTTTTTACTTATTTATTTTTCTTTTTAATTATTGCTTTATGAATTTATTCATTTTGTATTTTTATTATTTTTATTTTCTTTGTAATTATTGTTTAAGGAATTTATTCTTTTTTTTTTTTTACTTTTTATTTATTTATTTTTATTTTTATTAGTAATTATTGCTCCAGGAATTTATTCATTTTTTTACTTATTTTATTTTTTCTCAACTTTTTATTTTTATTTATTTTTTTTTTCTTTGTAATTATTGCTTCAGGAATTTATTCTTTTTTTTTCAACTTTTTATTTTATTTATTTTTTTTGTAATTATTGCTTCAGGAATTTATTCATTTTTTTATTTTTATTTTTTCTCAACTTTTTATTTCTTTTTTATTTTTTTCTTTCTTTCTAATTATTGCTTCAGGAATTTATTAATAAAAAAAAAATTCTCAACTTTGTATTTATTTTTTATTTTTATTTTGTAAACGTTAATGATTTGTTTGTTTTTTTGTATGTAAAGAAATGGGGGGGGTGCTTTTCTCATTCATTCTTTGTGCTGTAATACAGTCAGTAAAATGAAAAGATGTTATTCTTATCCTATAATGAAATACTTGTGTGACAAATCATTCAAACTTCAAAGATAAAAGTTGATAGTTTATTTAATGCTCCTGTTGTTAGTGTTTTTAGATCAGTGTGTTTTCTGAATGAGAGTTGTTGCCAGTGTTATGGTGAAACAAGCTTATTTTGAGACCTATATGAAGTGTTTTGTTGGTCTGAGTGAGTTTTGGCCAAGATACATGTTGGTAATGCAGTCTGTATGAACAGTTTTGAAAAGGTGGCTTCAGCATTGAACAATGCTTGTTAGCAGTTGAAAATCAAACTGTAAAGAGGTTCATCCAAAGCGTGAGATATCAAAGAGAAGGTTTAGGTTGTTGTGGATGTTCTGCTGGATGTGATTGTGGCTTCTGTTCTCTCGGCTCTCAGATCGCGGCGTGTGGATATATAAAAGCGCTGGTGGCCAATCACTGCTGGCTGATCCAGTTATTCAGTCTGGCCTGCACTATAAAAGGATATTCAAAGCGTAAGTTATGCCTTCATTTCCTCTTTGGTTTAAAGAACTGAAGGCTCACTTTCTACATTCGCTGTACACTTTGATGTTCAGTGCTTTCTTTTTTTTAAAGCTTTACTGCCACAAATCATGTCATGAAATGTGCTGAAAATGTGCTCATCCTCAGATGATCAGAGGTGTAGATGAGTTTGTTTCTTCATCAGGTTTGGAGAAATGTAGCATTGCATCAGTGTCTCAGCAATGGATGCTCTGCAGTGAATGGGTGCCGTCAGAATGAGAGTCCAAACAGCTGATAAAAACATCACAATAATCCACAAGTAATCCACAGCACTCCAGTCCATCAGTTCACATCTGGAGAAGACAAAAGCTGAAACACATCCAGCATTAAGACGATTGTAACTAAAATACCATAGAGTCCATAATCCATAATAACACTTCCTCCAGTGAAAAAGTGCATCTGCTGTTGTCTCTCACATCAAAATCCAGCCACATATGTGTTTAGAGCTGTTTAAACGCTGCTTGATCTGTGCAGATTTCTCTCCTGATTCACACCAGAACACTTTTTCACTGGAGGAAGAGTTATTATGGATGATGAACTCGTATTTCTTGATGGATGTGTTTCAGCTTTTGTCTTCTCCAGATGTTAACTGATGGACTGGAGTGCTGAGGATTACTTGTGGATTATTGTGATGTTTTTATCAGCTGTTTGGACTCTCATTCTGACGGCACCCATTCACTGCAGAGCATCCATTGGTGAGACACTGATGCAATGCTACATTTCTCCAAATCTGATGAAGAAACAAACTCATCTGCAAACTATCTCTGATGACCTGATCTTTAGGATGAAATATCCACTTAGACTCAATGAATAAAGTCTGTTTTGTTTTTTGTTTTTTCATCTAAAGAATAGTTTTGACCCACTCAGATTAAGAAAACCATTTTTATAAAAAGCCACTAATAAAATAGGACGGAAAAGTTTTATGAGCATTAATGGTTAACTCATTTTAATGAACGAAGCTGTGTCAGGCAGAGCTTGATTAGATTCTGATGATTCTCTCGCAGCGGAGCAGAATGCAAATAAACTTTGTGAGCTGCCGAGTGACGAGGCCGGGATCATCTGGGACAGCATCTGCTTCGCTTTTCTCCTGCTGCAGAGACGAGTTTTCACGAGCTACTACTTCCTGCACGTCGTAGCTGACATCCGTTCCTCTCAGATCCTCGCCTCCAGGTACAAACACATGCTCTGCATTACTGCTGTTTGCTTTTCATTCGCTTCTCGTGTTTGCCTGCATGTAATCATCCCAGTTTTATTTTATTATCATTCAGGTACTATTATAGTTGTTTTATTTAATTTAATTTAATTTAATTTTATTCATTTTTTTATTTAATTTAATTTAATTTTTAATTTTGTTTTTTTTATTTTATTTTATTATTTTTTATTTTATGTTATTTTATGTTTTATTTATTTATTTGTAGTAATTTTGTTGTGTGTTTGTCATTTTTTTGTAGTTTTTATGTCTATATATATATATATATATATATTTTTTTTTTTTATATTGTATTTTAGTACTTAAAGTTAAAATTAATTAAAATGAGAAATGTTGTAGCCGAAATAAAACAATTTTTTTCAGTTAACATTTATTTTATTTAAAGTATTTTTATTTAATTTTTGTATTTACATTTTAATTTTTTTATTTATTTTTTGATTGATTGTAATGGTTTTAATTTTAGATACAGTTTTAGTTTTAGTTGCCTATAATAACCCTGCATCTAACATTATGTTGTGGGTTATTTTTATCTTAAAGGGTTAGTTCAGTCAAAAATGAAAATTAGGCTGCGT